TGCAAGACCGTTCAGCAGAGAAGTTAGAGCAAAGGCTCAGGATCCAGGTGACCAACTTCCAGCTGTGGACAGTGTACTCTACTATGTCTCTGTGGCCTCCCTCCTTAAAGTAGGATAAAAATCCTACCTGTCTCATAGTGTTGTTGTGAGCTATAACTAAGGACATTTCCTGAAAGCTGTTATAATGATGGCCATGTATTAAAATTTAGCTTTCTTTTTTTTTTTTCTCCCTGGGAAGGGGATATATTTTCTATAAGCAGATTCCTTAGACTGTGTATCAGTTAACTATTGGCATAGTAAAGCCACATTAAACAAAATGCTCTCAAACACAGTGGCTGAGCACAAGATTTATGTGTCATTGCTCCTGTAGTTGTGGGTGGCCTGTGGCTTGCTGAGCCCTGGGTAAAAAGGCAGTTGGGTCTCGCATCTGCTCCATGTGGGATCCCAGTTGAGGGCAGCAGATGTAGGGGTAGCTCTTCTTCTCAAGGCATTGGCAGAGCTGTCAGGGTTAAGAGGGAAACTGCAAGGCTGCTCAGGGCCGAGGTTCCCACCAGCCGAAGTCCACCTGGCAAGGGGCACAGACTCAGAGAGGGGGGAAGCATCGGATCAGCAGGTGGCACCCAGGCTGCCCTGGGTGACTCCTGTGTCTGCAGCACTTCCCTGGGTGACAGTCAGCCTTCTCCTGGGGCAAGCTTCAAACTCTGCGCCTGGCCTCAGTTCCTGACCATCCCCGGTTATCTGAATACTGACCTTTGGGCCAAGCAAAGATGTTCTTTCTCCTATTCCTCCAAGTCGTTGGGAGAGACTGTGCATTGGAGGGGAGCACATGCTAACGTGTGTTTGAATTGAGAGTCTCTAGAGAAGCTGAGGGTGAGGAGACCTTCCAGTAATATTTTATGAAATGTATGAAGTATTTTAATGAAATACATTGAGAACTGGGAGGTGAGTGTAGGAGTTGATGCAGGGCTGTGCATGGCTCTCTCAGGTTTACCTGGCTACAGTGTGATCTTAAACGTGGTGTACGATGGATGTGAATTGTCATGAGAGGGTCTTAGTGTTTGAATTTAGTAATAAAGGATGTGTTTATTTACATGTTGCTATGGTTTGGACATGATTTGTCCCCCCAAAAGTGTGTATGCTGGTTTGGTCCCTAGTACTACGATTGAGAGGTGGTGGAACCTTTAAGCTGTGAGGTCCAGTGAAAAGTGATTGGGTCATTGGGCACTTCTACCGAAGGGAGCAGTGTCATTCTTGTTGGACTGGTTCAGTTCTTGGGGAGTGGGTTGTTATAAAGTGCAGTCACACCCTATGCTTGGTCCCTTCTGCTCACTGACATTTCCCTTTTGGCTTATCTGCTATGCTGTGACACAGCCCAGGGGCTCTTGCAGATGCTAGCTAGCATTATGCTGTTTGGACTTTCCAGCCATCAGAATTGTGAGCCAAGTGAATCTTTTATCTTTATACATTTCCCAGCCTCAGGTATTTTGTTATAGCAACACAAAATGACTAAGACATATGTTTCTAGATGCCGCTTTCTTAGTACAATTGAGGACATTGCATTTTTCTAGGTGCCTTGCCATTTGCTTTTAGATCCCTGGGAGCCTCCCAAGAGGTGAGCCTGAATCTCCAGTGGACATCCCTAGGGAAATGCCAGGAGAGAAGACAGGAGAGGCAGCTGGTTAGCATTTATTGGTGTGTAACTCTACCTCTCAGTTCTCCTTAGACTCCTCAGGGCATGGGAGTGGGATGAGGACACTGATGGGAGGAGTCAAATATGATTCCTTTGCCAGCATGTAAGATAATCTCCCTGCTCGTCTCTGGCTCCTTATGTTGCATGACAAATGTCCCCATTCTTCTCAGCAGAAAAGAGAGAAGCAGGGTCAAGGAGGACATTCTTACAGGTTATGCCTTTCTGTTTTATGTAATGAGAATATAAATATATTATGAGATTGAACATCAAATTTCTTAAAATACCAGTTACTTATTAGATTAAAAATTAAGCAACAACTCTAAAATTACACTTAATAATTAGGCAGAATACTAAATTGAGCATTTGTCTCAGGACATGGGAAGGAAGTACATTTCTAGAAATTTTTGGTAACAAACACAGCCCTGGGAATAACTTGGAAAACATTTAGCAGTGTGATTGGCATATGTGAGATGGATGAATCGTGCCATTGACAATGAATGCGTTTTCTCTAGTCCCTTAATTGAGGAAGAGGATTAGAGGCAAGGATAAGAAGGTTGGGGACCCCAATGGCTGCATTGCTCCAGAGGAACCTCTCTTAACCATTCCTTTCCTTGCACAAAACCCAACAAGAAAATGACACCCCCCACACACACACTGTATACGTTCTTATTCCAAGCCAAGTGTATACTTTAGAAGTGATGATTTTTTTTTTCCCCTTAAAGTGATTGCTTCGGAAAGGCACAATTCAAAATAGTCACTGCAAGAATAGACATGCTGAAATCTTAATGGTGCAATGCTATTTTGTTGAGTAAAAAATAGGGCTGGATAATGACGAATGGTAGCTATGCAAATGAAGAGAAAGATCATCATGTCTTGTGCTTCAGGGTGTGAACTGATGGCAGAAATCCGTCCATATTTCTCAGTAGGGGAGACGAATTCAGACAAAAACCTTCAGTGATATGATTTTTTTTTCCTTAAGCATCATTTACAACTAAAATACTAAAATAGTTGGTCTGTGGGCAGCCTTTCCAGAGCATCTGGTGTGGCAGGGCCCAGCAAAGAGGTAGCTGCAAGTTCACAAATTAATCGGCCAGTCCCTTAGCTCCTTCTTCTCTCCTTCCTTCCTCCTTCCCTGTCTGTCTCCCTTTTCTCCCTGCCTCTCTCCCTACTCCCCACCTCCCAAGAAACAAAGCCTTTCTTTCCAGGAACTTCTATCTTAATGGAAATGGCAGGAGGCTGAAATTAAAAACCTAAAAGCAAGCGCAAATTTATACAGTACATTTTGTATAGAGCAGGTTTCTGACGTATCTGGAAGAAAAAATCAATAGAATGATGACTCTAAATCTTGACCCCGTTAAACAATGAATTCTTCTACTTCTCTGCTTTTATTTACTTATTTATATTTTTTAGACCAAGGGGTATTATTTCCAGTGGTTTTAGGCTCAGAATAACTTTACCACCCAAGAAGTAACCCCTCCCCATGAAATAAGCAGAAAATTCAAACAGTGGTTGGTGACTCAGCTACCATATACTTACGAACCCTACAATTATACTTGAATGGGAAGAACTGATTTTAAACAGGAATTATTGCTTAGTGGGCTGATTCTCCAGTGAATTTGAAATGACTTGAGGATTTGATTTGTTCATGATCATTTACTAAGATTTCTTTTAAAAAATAGGTATATTTATTTGGCTTTTGCTTTAAGAATTTTAGATTTTATATTAAAAAAGTGAATCAAAATGGTTTCCCAACTACATACAGCTCAGTGCTGAGAGTTATTTATTAATTGATAATTGGCTTAAACGAAATAAGAGATTAATTGGAACCTCAGCATGTCATCAGTTATACCATATCCCCAAAATAAACTCCAGAGAGTTGAATATTGCAAATCAAATTATAGAAAAATTAGCAGGAACTTATAATATTAATTGGGTCTGTGCATGAATAACAACTTTCGCAATTTACAGCAAAAGAGGTAATTCATGAGGAAAAGAGGAACAAATGGGCATATTTTAAAATTTAAAACTTCTCTACAAATGAAGATGCAAAAGACTAAGGCAATTTAAATTTGTGACACATACATGATTAATATGTTATAACTTTTAATATATTGCATACTCAAATGTATAAGAAAAATGCTGGGGTCTTGACAGACAGGTAATATAATCACTATCACTTACTGAATATTTTTCTATACCCACAAAAATTTACTAAATCAATTTATACTGATTGTTCTGTATTCAGAATGTTTTGGAACCAATTTCTCTCACAGAAGAACCCGGTTTATGCCACTAATCAGTCTGAAGTGTACTTTTTACCTGGTTTCAAAGCCCTGTTTTGCTTACAATAACTTTTCAGTGCTAGAAGTTGGAAGTTGGGCTGGGGTTGCGGCTCAGTGGCAGAGCACTTGCCTCGCACATGTGAGGCACTGGGTTTGATCCCCAGAACCACATAAAAAATAAATAAGCAAAATAAAGGTATTGTGTCCATCTATAACTAAAAAAATTAAAAAAATAGGTTGGAAGTTATGGAAATCTAAGGGGATTTTTCCTTATCTCTTCCACTCATGGTCTGTCATTAGAACTACAATTATGGGCATCCTGTCAATCCAAGTGAGTGATTTACCAAAAAGCACACTGGAGACTGCTTTTGTCAACAGCTTTAGAGGTAGCCTTGGCCACTGAAACCTGATTTGGCCAAAGAGGAAATATGATATGAGATCCCACGCTTTTCGCAGCATGTCATCAGTTATCTTGAAAGGCCTTAGTGGAGAGACACGTTAATTAGCATCCCGTGAGCATCCTAGGATAAGGTGACTACAGTATTATGTTAGGGCACTTTGTCAAGCATGTCATTCCCTTATCTTGCTTTTATAGCAGGGGATGGAAAAGCACTAGAGAGACATATCTTTGAGGTCACACAACAAGTGAACAGCAGATAAACATTAGAACCGGCAACTCCAGAATTCCCACTGTGTGTAATTAGTTCACGGCAGGCAGGAAATGACAGCACTGGGGATACATAGCAGATGTGGGTTTGGGGACCTGGTGGCTGGTGGGAATTCTCAGTGCTCTTCTGAATGGTTAATTAAGTTCGTGTCTCTCTGAGGGACTCACAGCATAGAACCCGGAGGGCTCTCAGCCAGGTCCCTTCTTCCTTAGGGTAAAAGGAAAGACCAGGGTCACCCTCAAGGCCTTGGGTAAACTCACCTGGTGGAGGATGGGTGTGGGCCTCAGTAATTTCTTAGGTGTGGTCATCTCTTTGTGAGGCTTCCTGGAGTTTCTGACTGGTTCTTGTCCTTTGCTCCTAGGAGGACCGAGATGCCTCTGGGCAGTGAAGGTTGGCAGGGTGACTCCACCACTCACAGGCTCCCTCTCCTCCCCTCCACCCCTCTGTTCCCAGAGCTGCCTGGTGAGTTGTGGTCAGTTTGTGGAGGGCACGTTTGTCTTCTTTGGTCTCCATAATGAGTGACAGACACTGAATTCGCAGACATCACCTATTGTTAGGCATCCAACAAAGTCTTTACAGGAAACAGCTTGAAAACTACTGCCAAGAGATTGGGGATGTTTATGGAGAATTCCAGGGAGGGCGGAGGCAGCCTGCCAAGGTAGATCCAAAGGCTGCTTCCTTAAGATGCTCTAACAAGCTCATTAGTCCTAGAATCATGATTATTTTCATTTTATGGACCCCTTTATAAGTACATGACTAAGTATTTAATCACCAAGGGTTGACTGAAGAGAAATGAATCGAGCTTCTGCTTTAGCACTCTGAAGGAGCTGGAATGTTGAGCTTCCTTTCCCTTCTGCCCAGTCTAGAATGAGCTTGGCATGCTTCCTGGGAGAACCCTAGATGGACTCTGCTCCTCTCTTGTTGCATACTCTGGCTACTCAGAGTAAGGTCCATTGATTGGCAGCATCAGTGTCACCTGCAGGCTTGTTAGAAATGCAGATTCTCAGGTTCCACTACCTGCATCTTAACATGCAGGTGGTGCTTACACACGCTCAAGTTTGAGAAGAGCTGGGATATAACATTTAAATTGTTTAACTGGGGTAGGCAGCTTCATCAGCAGTGAATGCTTTTTCCTGATCGCATTTTTTATTTATATATTATGACCCTTAATAAGTTTCTTAGCCCTTTGATATTTTAATAATATAAACATATTTTTTTAAAGAGAGAGAGAAGAGAGATAGAGAATTTTTTAATATTTATTTTTCAGTTTTCAGTGGACACAACATCTTTATTTTTTAAAATTTTTATGTGGTGCTGAGGATTGAACCCAGAGCCCCGTGCATGCCAGGCGAGCGCGTTACTGCTTGAGCCACATCCCCAGCCCAATAAACATATTTAAAGTTGTTTTTCATTATAAATTAATATATTTTCATTGTGAAAGCTTCCCAGAATATGGAAAAGTAAATAGTAAAGAGCAGTTTGTCCCTCAGGTATACTACTTGTTAATAATTTTTAAAGGTACATTCTTTTTCTGTCTTTTCTGTGCATAATTTAAAAGATGGCACTTTTTTTTTCCTGATTGTAGGCATCATTTATGATCCTTGTAGAAAATCAAGACAGTAGGAAACCATGTGAATCAGGGAATGGAACAGCCTCTGTGCCTAGTGCCTTGGATTTCACAAAATAGCACTTTCATAGTCTTCGCTGATTTTCTTTGGTTTAAGAAACTCCATTCAGATAGTCTTTGTCTTAAAATATCATCTTTGCTTTTGAGTTTTGAATAATTTAAAGAGATTTCTGGTGTAATCATCAATGTCTCAAATAGTTAGTCTGCAATTAGAATGGAGACCTTATTATCTTCTTTGTGCAATTGCAAAAATCTAATTGACTACTTATTGGTGTGGCATATTCTATATTATAGATGAATCTTCTTTGGCCCGAACCTTGCTGGAGGGCAGAAAAGCTTTTGCTTTTGAACCATGTGTGACCACACTTCTCTCAAACTTGCCTGATGCATCATCTTCTGAAGGGCAGAGGGAGGCCTGGAACATCAGGCTTTGATGATCTTGACAGAAAGTGCTGTTTTCTTAGCCAGCTGCATAGAAACTAGATGATTAGGACACTCCATTGTGAGGAGGCAGATTAGCAGATTTTTGTTGTTTGGGTTTCTTTATTGAGACTGGAAATGCAAGTTAGAATGCTTGCCAAAGTCTCTGTTTTTTTTTTTTTTTTTTCTTGTGGTACTGAGGGTTGAGCTCAGCCATCACAAATGCTAGATAAGTGACGTCACTGCCTTTTTTAGGCAGTTTGAGGGCGTGTGATTCTTAACCTCTGTGAAATAATAGGTTTTTATGTTTGAGGTGGGTGAGGAGAGGTCTGGTTGTGATTGTCCCTGTAGCACCTTTGCCATGCTTTTTTATAGAAGGCACCATTGCTTGTGACAATGCAGAACATATTATGCCAAGTGAAGAATATGGTGCATTCTCCTGTCCATGGACTAGACCCTTTTGCCAAGTCTAGTTGTTCCAAGAGTAATGGATGCAATTTGCCATTCAGAGGAGCATAGTTCAGAAACTAAAGAAATCCAACAAATATCTCCAAAATATGCATCTTTCAGAGAACATTAAAAATGATCTATTGTATATGTCTTAAAATTTTAAGTAACAACTCTAAAGATTCTCTCCTGTCTCTCTTGCTTCACATTGTTCTGGATCACCTCTCCTCAGAACTCATTCTAGTCTTCATTCCACACTTTTGGGAAGTTCCAGGAGCTTCATCCCCACCGAAGTTCTTTCTTACATATATTGCTTTAGCCTTTCTGACTTTTTTTTAGTGTTCTGATAACTTCTTCTTTTTTTTTTTTAGAGAGAGTGAGAGAGGGGAGAGAGAGAGAGAGAGAGAGAGAGAGAATTTTTAATATTTATTTTTTAGTTCTCGGCGGACACAACATCTTTGTTGGTATGCGGTGCTGAGGATCGAACCCGGGCCGCACGCATGCCAGGCATGGCGCGCTACCGCTTGAGCCACATCCCCAGCCCTGTTCTGATAACTTCTAACCAAAGGAAAAGACCCAGCAAAAATATTTGTCCCCTTGTGAATGGGTTGGGGGAGTGGCCTCGGGAGAGCCTGGTGGGGAAGGATTGTGGCTACTGAGTCACAATAATAATAATAATAATAATAAAATAATAATATTTTGTTAGACAAGCATCACAATGTGTCCTGTAGTTTGTACTTGTTGCCTTGGGGACAGATTATGTGTACCTAAAGAACAGTGCAGTCACTGCTGTGGAGTTGGTTGTGAATGTGTGTTCATGGAAAACTGTTCACCACGTTGCCTATGAAACTGGGTTGAACAGGATTGAGTACAATTAATTGGAAAACAACAGATCTTTAGCTACCACCCCAAACCTTGCTGTGTCGCATATCTTGGCTGATAGCATCTTATTTATGTTGAGAAGCTGGTTGAGCAGGGAAGATGTGTGGTCTGGATATTGCGTGAGCCAGCTTGGCTCTGAAATTTGCCAGACTCTGTGGCATTACCACACTTTAAAATACATCCCTGTGGTGAATTTCAACACTCCAGTCCTCTGTAATTCTGCATATTATTATTTCTAGCCAGCTGGACATCTTTCTACTGCACCATGGATTGTCCCGTTGCCCATGGTGAGGAGCTGCATTGTCCTGTTGATGCCTCGTCCTGGTCTTGCACGAGTTTACACTCAAAGCATGAACAGTTTTCATTTTTATTAAAAGCAGCTTAGGATTTTTCCCCAGGCAAATATGTTGGCTTGTTGTATAACATTTTTTTTTTTCTGGCAGATTGTTCTCTTGAAGTATGTATATATAAAATTCTTGGAAAAAAATAACCCCTGGAGTTCTGAGTAAATGAAAATTTGTAAATGCACATTTTTTTTTCTATGATTGATATAAATGAGTACAGTTTGAAAGCGAGGTTCTGTATGGTCTCATTCCCTGTTCCTTTCACATCTTATTTCTTATCTCTCCCTTTGAACACTAGACCTACCCATTCTGGTTCCCTGAGTGCTCCTGATCGGCCACTGATGGTCTGCGGTGGGATCTTGGCATGGAACTCATCCACCTGGGATGCCCATGCCTGCTTTTCTGCAGGGGAAGCTCCCTCGAACCCCTTTGGACTCAAATATTGGCTTCTCACTGAGCATGTCCCAGGCTGCCCATTGATAATTTCACTTCTTTCTTTTGGCTCTTTGACATTTCCTATCCTCCTTCCCAACTATTTTTTCTCTTCTCCTTAGTGTTTATCAGTATCTAACAATGTAAAATTTATCTATTTATCTTGTTCACCTCTTCATCTTACACACACCAGAGTATACCCTTCCTGAGGGTATGGTAGACTTTATTCCTGATTCTATTCCCAGCAGCTGGAAGACTGCCTGAGCCATCAGAAGCACTCAAGAAATAATGGCTGAATGGAAACTTTCTTATATCTAGCAGTAGATATAAGGCTGGGGTCAGTATGTATAATACAAAGTATATATGCTCAATATTAATAATGGTTGTGATTTATTGGGCACTTAACAAGGGCTGAGCATTGTCCTAGAGTTTTTTTTTTTTTTTTTTTTTTTTTTTGTGTGTGTGTGTGTGTGCTGGAGATTAAACCTAGGGGTACTTAGCCACTGAACCACATCTTCAGACCTTTTTATTTTTTTATTTTGAAACAGGGTCATGCTAAGTTGCTGAGGCTGGCCTTGAACTTGCCATCCTCCTGCCTCAGACTCCTGAGTCGCTGAGATTGTAGGTGTGCACCACCACATCTGACTGCTAGAGATATCTGAGGCGTAGATTATCTCATATAATTCTGTTTCCCAGTGAGGCAGGTGGGCTATTGGAAGAAAGGTTGTAAGTCACTCTTGCTGGCTTCCTTCTCTTATAATTGACCTCTTCCACAATTGAGACAACCCAGAATAAGCTAGCAGTGAGTCCACCCACTGCAGAGAATGATCTGGGGATTTGGGGTGAATTTTGAGGCTCCCGGTCTTCTGCCAGGTTTCATGATTAGCAACCCTAGGAAGTAAACGCTCATTAGCATTTGGTGTCTTGAGGCATGTTCCGTGAAACCAGTTAACGCCCCTTTCCTCCCAGTTCTGCTATTTCATACATTTCCAAGAAGTCAACAGGTAGTAACAGATGCAGCCTGATTGATTTCTGGGAGGGTAATGACAGAGCATATTTGCCGTGGGATAGGTAAATGGAATCTTTGGCACTGCGGTTCCATTATCTTTTGTCCACGGATAAAAGGTGTATGACTTACTTATCACTTAATCCCACACCCAGCTTAGTAGTGCTGCTAGGTGAGGGGACGGGAGGAGAGGGACTTGTGCACGGCTTTGTAAATAGTGATAAGATGGTGGGAATGTAGAATTCAGCTTGGCAGGGGCTGCCCGGGATTTTGCTGAGTCCATAGCAATACTTAATTAACTGTG